CTCACTCGATCCCCACAGCGATCCATTCTAGATTTCATAGTTCGTCGATCCTCGATAAGAGCATCGACTCACTTTTCTACTAGCACACACTTTACATCTCTTTTAGGACAGTCACTCCCACAGCGATCCATTCTAGATTTCATAGTTCGTCGATCCTCGATAAGAGCATCGACTCACTTTTCTACTAGCACACACTTTACATCACTATTAGGACAGTCTCTCCCACATTAAGAACAACAAAGTGTGTTTCAGAGAGATGTTGGTACAACTAGCTAGTAGCAAGAATGCTACAATAACCACAAAGGACAAGCCCGTGCAACGTTCAGAATCAATCTCCATTCTTCTCCCTACCATTCAAGATACCAATAGTAGGTAGTTACCAACCCCTCTACTAGGTGTTAAAAATAGTAGTGGCGTTCATTTTATTCCAAATTATTTGAAGGAGATCCCTCTTATTGGTACTATTTTCTATTGCCTCGGCCTTCGATGAGGTATATTGGTTCGCGAAGATGACGACGACGGCAAGGCTTTCCATTCCAAAAACCCTGCTCCTTCGGAGACAGATAACGCAAACGTGACAGTCTACACAGACCCTTTGCTCGTACCCTATCTAATCAATATACAATGATTCACCTGGGTGTATAGAATTTACACAAACCAAGATTTTAAGACACACGTGAAAGGCGCAATTTTTCCTGGAGCATACTACATCTTTTCACACCTGCCGTTGTGGCAGCATTTCGATGTCGGCATGGGGGCATCCTTGGTGATAAGCGATTGGAAATCATCGGAGATTTCGTAGGACGCCCGCGAGGGGTTCATCCGGTCCATAAAATTTCCCAGAAAGCCCTTGTCCCAGGGGTTTTGGTACACCCTCCGACCGGATATCACGGGAAAGAGATAGTCGTACCGCATCGTATTCATGGCCTCGTTCGTAGTTAGGTTCTTCATGATCAGCTGTGTGTGGTACACGAACAGGCCGCCAACGGGGACAACGATCAAACAGAGCTGGGTTCCAAGTGCCATGACCAACCAGGGATAGGAAGAGTGTTCACTGTGGTACCGTGAAACATACGTAACAAGGGTGACGAAGAACGATCCCAGGCCTACTACCATCGAAGCCACAAACGTGTAGAAATAATGGTAATTGTTGAGACCGACCGTGTTGTCGACAAAGGGACAAAAGTGATCGAACAAGAGGACGCATTTGCGGGTCACCCGGCAATGCTTGGAACGATGTGGCCGGGCAATATGGCACGAGTGACAAAGTTTCTGTCGAGTCCAGCGACAAGGGCACGGGCAAGAAACGCAGAGAAGCAAGTGAGATACGGCAGCGAATGCTGTCACGGGGGTTGGATCCCTCGCCACTGTCACCACCAAGTGGACCCGGTCGAACCCAACCGTCGTTCGCTCACGGATCGATGCTACTTACATACGCTGGCTTCTGCTGGTTCGTTCCGTTTTCGGCGAGGGACTCGAGGGTTTCCTCGTAGAGCCTGCGCCATTTTCCAATGTCCGGGTGCGATTCGTCCATGTATCCGGGAGAGGTTCGCGCCGTTTTTCGGTGCATGTACGCCGTGAGAGTCCCAAAGACAAAATTGATCATCAGCAATCCACTCTTGTCCCACAACAAGCCGGCCCCGGCCTTTGCAAATGGAGCCATGACCCCCACCATGAGTACAAAAAACAGGACAGTATTGACCAGGACGATGTAGTAGGGAACCCTCGACGGTGCGTCCATTTCGTCCATCTGCGGGACCATTCCGCACCAGAACTGCCAGCTCCTGAGCGAGAAGACGTCCTTGAGGGAATTGAAGAGGGTCTTGCGGAAGAAATGCCCGCGCGGGTCCTCCGCGGCGGCCAGGGCCTCCTTGAGGACGTTTTCGACGTTCCTTTTTTGCTTGTGGACGGCCAGGTCGAGCGGGGTCCTCCCGTTCTTGTCCTTCAGGAAGAGAACCTCGCGTTCTTCCCTGGACGAGTGGTCCAGCTGCTGCAGAATGTAGCGGACCACCGAGGTGTTTCCGCGCAGCGCCGCCAGGTGCAGGGGGGACTGCCCGTAGGCGTCCTGCGTCGCGAGGCTGAGCTGCTGGTAGTAGGTGAGCAGGCCGCAGACCTCGTTGCTCCCCTTATAGGCGGCCCAGTGCAGGGCCGTGTCCCGGCTGGAATCGATCGCCTTGAGGTTGGCTCCCTTCTGGAGGAGGTAGGCGACGACCTCCACCCGGCCGTACTGGGCCGCGATCAGGAGCGGGGTGCACCCGCTGTTGTCCTTGGCTTCCATGTCCGCCCCGTGGCTCAGAAGGATCGCCGCGTGGGGGATGCTCCCCTCGGTGCAGGCCCAGTGGATGGGCTGCATCCCGACGTTGTCCTTCGATGGCCGCTTGAGGATGTCCGACCCGAGGCCGAGCCTCGTGGAAAGGTCCACCAGGGTTTGCAGAAAGCGAACGTCGTCGAGGCGCTTGGCGGCCCAGTGGAAGAGGGTGTGCCCGCCCTCGTCGAACTGCTGCAGGACGCTTGCGACGGGCCGGTCGTGTTCCTCCATCTTCTGCAGGACCCCGGGGACGGCCTCGAACCGGCTGAAGCGGACCAGCGTGAAGAGGATGCGGCCGAGTTCCTGCTCCGTCGCCGTGGAAATCTCCACCGGCAGTCCGCCGTGGGCCCGGTGCCTGCGGGGGACCATCTCGATCCCGTCCTTGTGGTGATCGCAGCAGGCCTCCTTCGTTCCGTGTGCGTGGTTGTGCTCGTGGTTGTGCCCAGCGCCGGTGGAATCCGCCGGCTGGCCAGCACCTCCCGAAGCGGGGGACGACGGGGAGGGGGCCAGGGTGCCTCCGGTCAGCGTGATTTCCGACATGGTGGCTGCTGCTGCTGCTGCTGCTGCTGCTGCTGTTGTCGTTGTTGGTCTGGATGGGTCGCGTTGGATCTCGTTGCGTTCCGTTGTTTTGGGTTGACTTTTGCTCGACTCGACGTTTCGATGTCTCGGTTCGGCCCACTGCTTCAGCGATTGTCCGATATCTATCTTCTTTCGTTTGGCAGCAGAGAAAAAGGAGCAACGAATGCAATGTCAAAGCGTGTTCTCGAGAAGAGTCACAAAACAGAACGAGAAACACCTACCGTACGTACTCGTACCATACCGTACTACCAGGTACTCGCATGCTAGACGTATGGTACAAGTACGTTCGCACGGAACGAAGAGGAAGCTGCTTTCGCATCTTTTTTCGTCGGGGAAAAATCAGCTTGCGACTATTGTACGTAATACGCACAGTACCTACTACTGACGGTAGACGAGGTTGTACTGTATCATTATTTTTTTCGTAGTTTGATGATAGTAATTAAGCAAGGGTGCTCGAAGATTTTCCATGCATACTTTACCGTAGCGTTTCGCAATTCAGAACGCAAGAAACAGGCCGATACGAAAGTACGGTACGAGTTACGTACTGTAGGTCAAAATCGACCTCGACACAGAAAATCTGCCGAAAAGGCCTAACCAGAAGTTCGTTTCTTCTCTCCTTCCAAACAAGACAGATGGTACGATTACTACTAGTAGAAGTAGTTGCAAAGATGTGAGAACTTATTCAATCGCCACAAATGCCACCAGAGGACTCTTGAGAAAGTCGAAATGTTCTCTCAAACGAAGAATTTCTGCTCTTTTTATTATTCAGGACTAGCAGGACTGGCTGTACCTCAAGTATTGTTACTACTTGTTCATGTACTACTACTACTACTACTAGTAATAAGAGCGGGCGATTCCCATCACGACCACCAGCATACTACTCGTACTACTCGCAGTAGTATTACTATAGACGCTATACTAGTGTTGCTACTTCTAGTAGTACCAGCTAGATGCAACAAGGGGAGCCAGCAGCATCAACATGACTTGCGGCGAACAACACGAATTGTCTTTGACGATTGCCAACCGCCTGCTTCTTGGTAGTAGTAGTAGTACTACTAGTACCTTTACCGATAGTATACTAGTACTACTACTATAATACTAGCATCAAGTAGTAGTACCGCAACAAGTTTTCCGTTGCGGCCAAACGGTCCGATTGCCACCGACGGAAACCACCAGGGGACACCACCGCAGCGCCTGCCGGTCATACAACTACTAGCACTAGCACTACTACTACTAGTTGCAGCGCTTTCCCGCAGGCGGGAGCACGGTGCCAACACGGCCCGGAACGCCGCTGCGGCAACGCAATGCCCGAAACGCCGGGGCAGGAGCCCCTCCGCCCCATCGTGCGATGCTGCTGCTGCTACTCCAACAGCAGCAGCAGCAGCAGCAACAACAACAACAACTACTACTACCACGAGTAGGATGGTCTCCCCGCGTGGCCACGAGTAACCCTGTATTTATTTATTTATTGATTCCATTCGCAACACAACGGCACAACCGGGGGGATGGGGGCAACGACGCCTGCTCCGCTCTCGCCGTGGCAAGCCGGTCGGTCCGTCGCTTCCGGTTCGGGGCACGTTCCGTTGCATTGAATTGCACAGCATTGCACAGCGCTGCACCGCACCGCACCGCACCGCGGCCGTCGCSCGGCCTCGTTGCCTCCCAGCGGTGGTCGTTGGCCCCGCGGTGCTTTGCCTCGCCGTGCGGCAGCGAGCCGTACCAATGCCAATGCCATCGACAGTGCCATCGACAATGCCATTGACAATGCCGAATGGTTGTGTCCGCAACGAAACGAAACGCAACCCCCCCCCCC